GGAAGGGGCCGAGGAACCCCGGCACTGGCAGGGCACCTCCATGGGCCGGGATTCCACGCGCATACGTTCCGTCCGCAGGGGGCCAGCCCCTCGTGAAAGTGCCCCCTGGTCGCTGCCTGCCGTTGCACCGGCACCGGCCGATCGGCCAGCCCAGGGGGCCTGTTTCCGCCTGGCCACGAAGGGGGGAGCGGGCCCTGGGCGGGTGCCGGTTCTCCCCGCCGCGCGGTCTGCCCAAGGCGCTTCCACGAGGTTCGGGGGGGGGAAAGGGGCGGGAGCAGCTCGGCGGCGACGAGCTGGTCCCCCGGCGTGGGACCGCGGGTGGGGGAGAGGGCGGGGCTGGCCCCCCGCCCCCCGCCCAGGCCCTCCACGGCTGCGCCCCCTCCCCCCCCCCCCCCCGCCCCCCCCCCCCCCCTCGAACCTGCACCACAATCCTGGAACTCACACCACCTGTGAAACACCAGCAGCGGCTCTGGGTCCCCCCACCCCCCCCCACACGCCCCGCCGCCCAGCCCCTCTCCCGGCCTGGAAACTCTCATACCCTGCCAGGCCGGTCGCGATGGCCCGATTGCGCGGGGCGTTGCCGGGGTGGGAAGCCGGCAACGATCAGCAAAGAAGGGGCCGAACATCTTCCGACCCCCCCCCCCCCCCCCCCGGCCCCCCTGCCCCACTCCGAGGGCGAGGGGTCAGATCAACCTCGCCTCTTCGGCCAGCCTCTCCCTGGCCGGGGGGATAGCCCTGCCCCAGTACCGACATCCTTCCCCCGCCCCCCCCCCCCCCCCCCCCCCGTCATCCCCTCTTCTCCGCATTTCTGCCCTCTCCCCCTTCCCTCTGCTGGCGATGGTCTCCTCCCTTGCCGAGCACGAGCCGCCGGCGCTTGGCGGCCTGTCGGTGTCTGCCTCTGGCCAACTGGCGGCCTTGCATCTGGTGGCCGGCCGGCCGCCGGGCTCGCCGCGGATACCGACCGATGTGGGCCTTGGCGATGTGGTCGCCGGTTCGAGCGCGGCGGCCATCGAAGCGTCCCCTCGGCACAATCGGACCCTGCTGACGCCGGTCTTCGTGGACTTGGCACACTCGGGGAACCTGGGGCGGCGGTTCCCGGCGGCGGTCCTGGCGCCCGCCTCGGCCACCGCCTCCGACGAGGCCCATCCACACCGGTGCCTGCTGGAGGTGAGCGCCCACGCGCCGGGCCGCGCCCTGCGCCGAGAGCTGGGCCCCGTCTTCCCGGACATCTTCCGGCCCGGGGCCTCGCGCTTCATGGCCCCCGATGGGACAGACCTCCTCCGGCGCGACGCGCGCGCCGAGTTCATCGTGGTGCCCACTTTCCAACGGTCAGCTGCAGACCTGAGCGTCTTTTCCGAGCACTCCGAGCTGGAGAAGGACCGCCTGCTGGAGCGTGTACGTGCTCGTGCCATGGGGTAGGCGGGGGCGAGAGGAGGGCCGCCATTCCCCCCCCCCCCCCCCCCCCCCCCCCCCCCCCCCCCCCCCCCCCCCCCCCCCCCCC